ATCCCTCCCTCTGTGTGTCTGTCTGCCTTTATAAATAAAGGAAATCAAGTGTTGTAACAAGAGAGCTGTGGACACTGCAAGGCAGGGACAGAGACAGACATACTGGATGGACGGAAGGAGATGAGAGCGTCTGAGCAATGGAGGGAAGTGGAGGTGGGCAGGGAGAGACCTGCAGGCACCTAGTCTTCTGAGTGATGACTGCCCCCTGCCCATCCTCCCCTCCACGCTGGGACCTCGGGAGGGGCTGAGACCTGGAAACAAGGGCAGGGGAGCCGCGGCTGCTGCAGTGGAAAATGCCTGCATCAGGGCTCAGGGTAAACAAACCGCACTTGGGCTGCTGGTGGGGGCCGGAGGCACATTTGCCAGCCAAGCTGGGGGTTCCTGAGATGAGGGTCTGCTCCAGTGGGGAAACTGAGGCCCAGCCCGTCACCCAGGCCACTCCAACTCCTGTCCTGTCCCTGCCCTTGACCCTTCAGTCCCACCATCAGTCCCATCCCCAGGGGTGCCTCAGTTTCTCCCCGTGTGCACAGAGGAGTCTCCAGACCCATCCTCTGTCTTCGCTGTGCCCCATCAGGTGTTCCCAGTGCTGCTCTCTCCTGGGAGCAGAGGACAGTGCTGGTCCTGTGTGGCCCAGAACAGAACTGGGCAGTGGGATTGGTGTGTGCCTGCACTTGCAGGTGCTTTTGAGTAGCAGGGTCTCTGAGGGAGTCCTCCTCCCCCTAGGTGGCACCAGGCAGTGCTGTCCCCTGCTCATCTCCTGCTGCTTGCCTGGGACGACTCAGCACAGACCGTCGTTGCACTCCAGGAGTTGAACCCACCATCTTCTATCCCACAGACTAGCTGGACCTGCCTGCTCACTGTGAGACAATGGACACGCCCTTCCTCTTCCTCCTGCCCCGGAAGTCAGTATGGCCCACCCTTTGCACAGAGGCAGGTGGCAGTGCCCAAAGCCGCCCTCTGACCCTGCCTATCCAGGTCCCCAGACGAAGCTCATTAGCGACACCTATGGACTGCGGGTAAATTCCTTGCTAGTCACTGGCCTGTGGCCAGGAGAAGTGGCGGGGGGGGGGGGGGAGAGGACTGCACCCGCAAGCTGGACATGCTCGAGCAGCTCTCCATCCCACTTGTGAACGAAGGCATTCCCTCATGCACAAGGATGGGCACAGCAAGGCCTGGGGAGGGGGAGGGGTGTGAGTAGAAGTCCCCACAGCGCAGCTCCTCCTGACCCCAGGCTGTCTCCCACCAGGAGCCTCTGCCTCCCCCTGCAGCCTCAGGGTGATGGTCATGGGCATCCTGAAGATGGGGAAGACTGAGGCAGCTGCCCCAAGGGGACCCCAGGCCCCCCACCCCCAAGCTCAGCTCAAGTATCCACTGTCCACCCATGCCCAGCTGCCAGGGCACACTTGGCTCCCTCAACAAAGGCAGCCCCGCCCTGGCTGCCTCCCCCAAGCTGCTGGCGCCATCAGACCACACACAGAGGGAACAGACAGCCACTGAGCTGCATGCCCATGGGGGTGCTGGGTTCTGGGGGTGTCCCCTAGCCTGAAGGATATAGGGGTCATCCTGTCACCAGGAGGAAGGCCCTGGAAGCTCATGTGCTCTTGTCTTCACGCAAGAAAGAATTCAGGCATGAGACAGAGAGTGGAGTGATAAGGCTTTATTGAGGACAGGGCATCTGTCAGGACAGAAGGGACAAAGAAAGCGCCCAGTTGCTCAGGCTGGGGGAGAGAGAGGTTATATGGCTGAGTGGAGAGAATACACCTGAGCAGGCCAGGCGGGCAGCTCAGCAGAGAGGCAGAAGGCTGAGCATGCAGTCTGTTTGGACTCCCTAGGAACGGTCACATACATAGGATGTTGGCATCATAGACAGTGGCTTTACCTGCTATGCCACAATTCCTGTCTCAGTTTGAGTGTCTTGTTTCATGTTTATCTCAAGATCTGGATTCCCTCTGACTTCCCTTTCTGTTCTCCTCTTTAGTCTTCTGCTTTCTCTCTTCCCAAGATGTCTCCCTTCCTCCACCTTTATTTAGTGAGCAATATATCTCTTCTATTTCACAATCCAGGTCAAATCTCATTTCTTCCAAGATTCTGTTCGATATTCTCCCAATATTAACTTTTGTGACTCCCACGATTTCCCAAAAGCAAATTGTGGGGTTTGATTTAGAAGGATTGTATTGATCAGACCCTGGTTCCTATTGGTTGTTTTTATCTCTTACCTCCACTGGATTGTGAATACCTGGAGGCCAGAAACATAGTATCTTTGGTCTTTGAATGTAATGAAATGAGTGCATTAGGCTTGATGCATACACAAATAATATTTAACATACATTTACCAACCAGAGCCATCTCAGCCCCACCTCCGCCTCCCCATGGGTGCCAGAAGCTGCATTTGCTCCAAGCATATCAAGTGTACCCGCTGCCCCACATTAGGCTTTTGAAGGAGGACCTGGGGTCCAGGTGAGGCCTGATAAAGCCACTCCTTACAGGACAACCAACAAAGCAACCCTGCTGAAAAGTTTGGGAGGAGCAGGTCACTGAGCAAGTGAGTCCTGAAATTTCCTTGTTGGGGCAGCATTCAGTGCTTCTTTCACTGCTCAGGGACAGTGGAAAGCAGCTGCCTTCAATCTACACAGGCAGAGGGAGCAAGATGGGGGTGTCCTCTCCTTAGGGTGAGAGTGAGAGAGAGCTTTGAACTGATGTCCCTGCAGTTACCTCTGTGTGGCCAGTGCATGAGTGGCTGAGGTTGGCTGTAGGCCCAGTACTTACTCAAGGCATGAGAAGGTGTGCCAGGCCAGGTGTCATTCTCCACCAATGTGGGCCAGGCTTAAGGCCCCTTAGTTAAATCGCAGGTTTGAAGTCAACCTGGTGTGTAAATTTCAGCTACTTGTTATGTCCGTGGATACTATCTGCTTTTCAAAGTCAGTTAGAGAATCACCCATCCCCCCCAGAAAAACACACAGCACTGACAGTGAGATTGTTACAGTGTTGAATTGTGCAAGTTATGTAGAAATGCATAAAAGGAACCAGTAACACATAACATGATAGGATTTCTCTTGGGCCTTGTTTTATACAAGCAGTATGAGCACTCAAGGACCCATGCACTAACAGTGGGACACTCGGGCTCCAGGGCCTGCATCTGTAAACCTTACTAGGCACCCATGGAGCTAATGAGACCTGGATAAAAGGCTTCCCCCCACATCCTGAGGAAGACAGTGACCTGCTGCCTTTCAGCACCTGTACTTCTCCATCACCCTGCTAGACCTGAAGACACCCAGCCCTGAGGTGTCAGGAGCCCACTGAGCCCCTGCTGCCCAGGTACAGGAAGCATGGACTCAGGTGGGCCTCCTCCTGTTAGTTCCTTCTTGAGCACATTGCTCTGAAAGGCACAGGGAACTGCAGCCCAAAGGTGCTGCTGGTGATGGGACCTACACTTCAGACCCAGAGTCACTCAGCTCCTTCATGGGCCCTGGACTGTGCAGGTTTGGGGTGAGTACTTTACCTCCCCTATGGCATGCATTTATTGCACTTTTTAAAAAAAATTTTTTTATTTCTTTGAGAGCGAGAGTTAGAGAGAGAGAGAGAGAAAGACATCTTCCATCCACTGGTTCACTCCTCAAATGGCCACAATGGCCAGAGCTGCGATGATTAGGAGCCAGGAGCTTCTTCCGGGTCTCTCGCATGGGAGAAGGGGCCCAAGGACTTGGGCCATCTTCTACTGCTTTCACAGGCCATAGCAGAGTGCTGGATCAGGACTGGAGCAGCTGAGACTTGAGCCGGAGCCCATATGGGATGTGGGCGCTGCAGGCTGGGGCTTTAACCGCTATTCCACAGCGCTGGCCCCTGTATTTATTTCCTATTGGATTTATTGTCTCCCAATTCCTCTTCTAGTATGTTAGCTTCCTATGGCGAACATTGTTTTGGCCCAAACACCAAGACTGGTGTCTGCCTCAGGGTCAGTACTGAACAAAAACTCTGCTGATGAAATATCAACATGCTTAGCAGAGTCATTTGTGCGAACTGTATGGTAATGATGCATAAATGATGGCAGTAGTTATGAAGCAATTCTACGTTAAATTATTGAGTGCTTCCAACAAGAGAGCACTAGGATAAAAGACGTTCACAACAAAATGGATGCAACTGGAAAACATTATACTTAGTGAAATAAGGCAGACCCCAAAGGACAAATGCCATATGTCTCCCTGATCTCTGGTAACTAATAGAGCACCTAAAAGGTAACCTATAGAACTGACATTGATACTTTGAGATGCAATGACTATGAAAAGTCCTTGTCTCAACTGTTAAGGAACAGTTTTTTTTCATACTATTTGTTGAACTCTCTACTTAGTATAGGGTTAATTGAAAATATATCTTAGTAAAAAAGAATGGGATTAGGAGAGAGAGGAGGAAAAAAGGTGGGAGTGCTGGTGGGGGGGAGGGTAGGGTGGGAAAAATCACTATGTTCCTAAATTTGTATATATGAAATGTGTGAAGTTTGCATACCTTAAATAAAAGTTTTATGGGTAATAAATAAGTAAATAGATAAAAGACAATATTTAACATTCCTATAACTTCACATGCACACAAGACCTCAGAACGTACCCTTCACAGCTCTCAGTGACAACCCACACAGGGAACGATTATTATGGTGAACACCAAGAATACAAGGGGAAGTGCTAGACTTTTCGTTCTCAATATGGCAGCTGCGGGGGCTGGTGGGGCGGAAGGGGTGGGAGGGGACACACTCCTAAGACATAGATCCGGTCCAAACAGGAAATGCGCCGGAAGATCGGCAACCTTCCCCGACAGGATCACACACCCTGCCCCCAACCAATGTTCCCGATGTTTTCAAAAAGGCACCACCACTCTGGATGGGCATAGTCACAAACTTTCGTGTCCCTGACTCCTATTGGCTCCAGAGCCCACTGGCGTTTGTGCGGCAGCCCCATTGGCTGCCTTGGGTCAGGTGGTGGGTTTCACAAAGCCTCGCGGTGACGGCAGCCGGCGAGAGCAGCACAAGAACTGCCGGCGTGGTCACGTGATCTTTGAAGTGTGACGGGCGCCATTTTAGACGTTGAAGTTTGGTGCCTGGGTCTCGACCTCAGAGGCTAAGAAAAGGAGCATTTAGTGGGTCCCCGAGAGCCGCTGTGACCTGTACGAGAGAGGAGGCCTCGTGTTCGTCAGCTTTGTGCTGTTGCGAACAAGATCATGCTCAGGCTGCTCAGACGGGTGATGACGTTCTTCCGCGGCAAGAGCCAGGAAACTGCCGAGCGGCAACCAATTTACTTGCAAGGTACCTCTCTGGGTGTTCGATTGGGCCCTGCAAGGAACTTCCCTTATTCATATCTCTCAATACTGGTCAGCGTCCTGGGTGCTGGAGCCGCTGACGGTGTTCAGAGCCCATCTTTGGTGTGTGCCTGATTGTGTGTGCTTATTATCCCATATGTGTCTGTGTGAGCCTGCGGTGTCCCAAATGCACCATAGCTAGAAAAGTATGCCCGACAGCAACAAGCCACCATTATACGTTCTTGCGATGTGAACAGAGGCGAACATGCAAGGTCCTGGGGTGCAGAGCCCCTGCCTCCCCGCGTGCCTCCTGCAGGTGATTTCTTTTATGTGTCCAGCAGAGAAACTCCCCCAGTTGTGCGTGAATTTCATTTTGTCTCTCCAACTGCCGAGTTTTTGCAGCTAGATGGAGGAGTGATATATCGGGTACCTTAGGGGATCGGCAGACTGCTTTGGCTGGCTGATTGCAGGAATCAAAACCGAAAATGTTGTTTCTCAGCTTCGCTTATACACAACAGCAAAATAATGGGGTGCAGTTTGGAGTCAGTGATAAATCTCCAGATGTATGTCAGTGCTCTGTCTGAAGAGGTGAGAAAGAGACCTGAGATGCAGTTCCTTTCTATGTCATAAAGATCGTAAGGTACATTATAGTAATAACAGAACTGTTAAAGAATTCATATGCATCTGTGGTGATGACAGCTATCTTCTGGATGGCACTCACGGAGCTGAAAAGTGACATACATATGCAAATTACTAGGTAGCCCTATTAGGCTGCTATTGCTGTATTCAATCTTTTGACACATAAAGGGTCTAGAGAACGAAATGGTCAGGGAAGGACTTTTTTGTACTGTGTCTTTGCAGCTGAACATAAGTGATGTGATCTTGTTGACCTGTCTCATAGATGACAGCAGTTTGGAAAATCAGCAGATTCTCATGGAAAGTGACTCGGGTGATTATAGCATGATGGATGAGTCTCTCTGCTACAGTTCTGATCGGACAGACAGTGACTCGCTGATAAGTGGGCAGGGAGGCTTGGCCAATGCGGAAGAGAGTGAACTTCCTGAGGAGCTGAAATCCTTCCAAGTAAGATTCAGTTTGGAGAGTCTCTTATTCCAGTGCACTTACACCCTGCTGTCCTCAATTATTCCATCCACTTGAATGTGACCCTCACAGAGGATATAGAGTCATAGTTGAAGCCTCAACCCCAAAGCTATAGGATTTTCTTTTAGAATATTTCTTGTGACTTATTTATTTTAAATTGAATATTCTTCATCTGGTTTTCTAGTTCTTATATGCTACAGTTAACAATGGTAATTGTATGGTAAATATTTGTGCATAAAATACTGAAGGGGAATCAGTAGTTGTGCTTAGTTAATGGACTTAAGGATTATGAGGAATTTCCTTGCTTTTTGTACTTCTTACACAATTATCATGTATTATTTGTGTAGTTAAGAAATTTTAAGTACAAATTATTGAGCTTCCAATAAGAAAAACATTTTGTATACCTCTGTATCAGAGATTGAATACACCATAATTTGAGTTCTCTTTTTTTCTCTGCTTCCTATTTCAAAAGATTTTTCCAACACTTATTTCCTGGTTCAGTTCCCTGCTTCTGTATCTTAAATGACATGGTTTACCTGCCTATTCCCCTAGTTTGTGTGCATTTTTCCTCTCTGACTCCTGGGCTCCTGTCCCTACTGTCATTGAACAGGAATGCTCTCTTATTTTGCAAGTGAACCCAAAACTCTTTTTTTCATTTGCTGCCACAGTTTTCTCTGAATCTGAAGTTTACTTTGTGTTGAGAATTTGCAAAAACAAGTATTTTTTTATTTTCTCGCAACATACTAGAAGTAGGTATTTTTCTGTTTCCTCTTATTTGATGTCAAATTTCTAGAACATAAGAACAGTATGCGATTTATCACTGAACCTCATGTGATGAGAATGTTAACTTTGTCTAAGAAACTAACTTTGATTCAAGTATTTAAATACACAAAGCTCAAGCATTATTTTCAGCTCATCATTTCACAACTATGATCAATTTTTGCTGTGTAACATTTATAATTTATAATATAATTCTTGAACGTCAGTCTTTTAATCATATCAAATTCCATTTTCAACTTTTTGCCATGTTGGAAGAAAATGTCTATCTTACAGGTGGTGGATATCTCTGGTGATATTCGTGGCGCTGGACCATCAGAACTGGAAACTGGAATTTTGATTGATTATGTTAGGGTGGTAAAGAAGCGTGTTGTCTATCTGAAAGAAAAAATTAAATTCTCCCTAGACATTGTTTCTGAAGGTATGATTCCACTTTTCAAAAATGCAACTTTTCGATATGATCTTAGCACTAGAAAAACTTATAGAGCATACATGGCTTTAGTCAATGGCTTCTGAAGAGTTGAAGGGGATATTTGGAAGTGAAAATAATATACAATATGAGTTTGATTAGGTAGTATTTATAATAGCTTTTGTAATCATTTGCTATGTGTGAAAGCAGTCAGTAAACACCTAGATATGTCTTTCATACATTCAAGTTTTTAGTTACTAATTAATAAAAAAAAACACACAGGTAAAGAAGGAAAATATTTTTAAGCAATACAGATACTTCAAAAGAAAAGTTTTGAGAGAGTGCTGCAACTTGCGTTGTGAGTATTTGGGGTACTTATTTTTGAATTCTTGTAATTGGCAGATATATTTTAAGCATTGGATTCTACTTAACACTTTATTTTGTTGGTGTTTGGTCAGAATGATGCAGCTGTCGTGAATCTGAGATACAGAAGGGGAGATTAGCTCAGCCCAGGAACCCAGCCTCTTGGATGTCAAACTAGGGTTAATGACTGAGTTTTGTTTTCAGAGTTTTCACTATTTCTACTTGGGGGACAAGGGTAGGCTCAAGAAAGTTGTCAGCAGTACACTGTAAAATCTTAACTAGGGGGCCAGCACTGTGGCATTGACGATTAAGCCTCTACCTGTAGTGCTGGCATCCCATATGGGCGCCAGATCAAGTCCTGGTTGCTCCACTTCTGATCCAGCTTCCTGCTAATGCACTTGGGAAAGCAGTGGAAGATGGCCCAAGTCCTTGGGTCCCTGTACCCATGTGGGAGATCCTGAAGAAACTCCTGACTCCTAACTTCAGCCTGGCAGCCCTGGCATTGTAGCCATTTGAAGAGTGAGTCAGCTTATGGGAGATTCTCATTCTCTCTCTCTCTCTGTCTCTCTCTGTCTCTCTCTTCCCCCTCCCTCCCTCTTTCCTTCCCCTTCCTCTCCCTCACCCTCCCTCTCTCTCTTCTTCTCTTTATTTCTGCCTTTTAAATAAATAAACTAATCTCTAAAAATAAAAATCCTGTCCAGAGGTGATGGAGCAATGGAGGTTACAGACCAAAGTGCTGGCTGATGAATTGGAGTTTTCTTGTTAAAAGAAAGAGAAAATATATAATTGCAGTGTATTTGTTTTGAGCCTTGGTAAGGATGCAGCTCTGTGTGTATGATATGGTGAATGAGAATAAAAGGGGGAACTGAGCTTTAGATATGTTAACTTGAACCAGATCTGGAAATAATTGAATCTTAACTTGCTTATAGCCACAGGTGTGCAACTGTGCATGTATAAGCCCATGTATATTTTGTAAAGCCATACCAAAGAAACTTATGTTGATTAAGAAGGAGAGAGCACAATATTTCATGAGCCTGGGGTCACAGTATCAATATACACTTAACTTTGTTGATTTTGGTATGGGTGTTCCAATTTACACACACATCAGTGATGTTTGATATTTCTACTTCCTTCTTAGCCTTGCAGGTACTGTTGCTATGCTGTGACAAACATTTGTCTTAGTTTAAAATTTCTTCTGAAATTGCACTTGTAGGGGTTTCCATGCTGCAGTGTGGTAGGTTAAGCCTCTGCTTGCAGCTCAAGTACCCCATATGGGTGCCAGTTCGAGTCCCGGCTGCCCCACTTCTGATCCAGCTCTCTGTTATGGCCTGGACAGCAGTAGAAGATGGCCCAAGTGCTTGGGCCCCTGCACCTACATGGGAGACCTGGAAAAATCTCCTGTCGCCTGGCTTCAGATCAGCCCAGCTTTGGGTGTTGTGGCCATTTGGGAAGTGAAGCAGCAGATGGAAGACCTCTCTCTCTGGCTCTGTAACTCTACCTCTTAAATAAATAAATAAATAAATAAATAAATAAATCTTTAAAAAAAAAAACTACATGTGTACAATGTAAGGTGTGAAAGAATTCATCACCTGACCAATAACCTGAGATATTTATTCATTCATTTCATGGGAATATTCCCTGATGCCACTGCTATAATACCTAGCAGTCAAGATTCCTTTGGTGTTTACCTGTGGAAAGCATTATTTCCGTATTGTACTTTCAATGTTTTATTGTCACAGTAACTGTATGTTGTCAAGACTATTAGTGCACTTCTCATTTTATAAACAGTGAAACTGAGACACTAAGAGGATTAGTAATTTGATCATGGTTGCAAACTGAGTGACAGTGGCAAGTTCTGTAATAGAGGAAGCCAGTATCAGGCCTGTGATCTCACCTTTCTGTTTGCCTCTCTGGGAAGAGTTGGGAATGTGACCAGTTGTTTAATATATGCCAGGTTGCTCCCAGAATTTGGCTATGAACTGAATTGTGATGTTCCATTCTTCCCTTTTTTGCCTGTCGAAATTTACTAAATCAGTACTTCACAATCAGGCTGTAGAACATGATAACTTTGCTTGCAACTCAAAGATTTAAAAGGTGTTTATTCAGACATCTACAAAATGATCTCTGTGTAGAACACAAGCTTCTGAGTAATGTTAGAGCACTGACAAAACTGGTGAATTAAAATGACTGAACATGACTCCAGAGAAGTGGTAATGTAACTGAAGTTCTCCATGGTCTTTTAGGTTTTGTGCCTTATAAGGGAGACTGGTTAGAAGTTGAGTATTCCCTGCAACCAGGCACCTCAAACATCAAGGCACACTCAGCGAAGCCTGTGAACTGTAAGCATGTGGAACAGGTAATTTATTAGGATGTGGACTTGACCTTCCTTATTCTCAGTCTTTCCTTTGGTGATGATTTCCTTCCCTGCTCTCTAATGTGTGTGCTGGGATATCTATAAATTCTATTCTTTGTTAAAAATGAGCTTATGTTCCTTTTGAAAATTAAGGACTTATCTTCTTAGAATTGTACCCATGAAATACATGAAATCAGTTCTTTTTATTTTAATAAAATTTTTAAAATGTAAATAATATTTCAGTAAATACCAATGAAGATAAAGAAAATTAAGGACTTCCAAAAATTAAGAGAATAATGTATACCTCATATGCAATTAATAATCTATATTGTGTAGTTCATATGATATTAGACCACTATTATAAAGCAGTAAGAAAAAATTATGAAATCCCAACTATGTGCAAGCATATTGTTGTGAAAGGGTGAATGCAGTGTGTTGTAGCACCTCACCTTACTCATAAGAGCTGAGTAAAATGTTGGTAGTAGAGTTGAAAAGGAAGTGAGGAATCCATGGAATGATGGTTAATGCACACAGTGAGTGGTCACACTGCAGACCAGGGTGCTCTCCCCAGAGATTCTGAATTGGCTGTTAGGAAGTGAGTTCTGGTCCCAGGTGTGTTTACAGAGCATCCCTGGTGTTGACATGGTGCCAGACAGGTTGGGAATCCTGGTGGGGATAGACTTGAAGGATAGAGGCACAGTGAGGAGAGGCAGAAAGGTTGCAGTGTGGGATGATTTTAATAATTTCCGTCCTTTCTCTCTGCAGGTCTGCATTAGCAATGTACGTGGAAAAAAAGGGGTGATAGCTAAGAGTTTCTTTTTTACCTTGGATTCTCTGATTCGCCCTGATGGATATGTGCCTAGAAACCATGATGCAGTCAATGTTGATGTAGTGGAAAGTAGTCAGGGGTGTTTTAAATGGAGAGCATATTCTATCACCCCAATCTAAATGGTGCTATAATAATAATGCATCTTTATTCCTTGTTTGTGTTTATTTATAAAGGCAGTAAAGGGCCTGATTCCACTGAAAATATCAATTTAGTTGTCATGAAAAATAGTATATGTTTATCTTTTCTGGTGCAACCAGTTCAGATACTGCTGGGTTCACATGGGACCCTGAATCCACTATAGGGCAGAGCATCAATTTAGCAGCAAATGAACGCTGCTGAGTAACAGTAGGAAAGGAGTTATTGGAAAGAAGCAGCAAATTGAATATGAATTCCTTGCTTTCCATAGCTAAGAGTGGACTGGGTGAAAGCAGAGTACTGTCACTAACTTGTGTCCCTCTTTCCTATAAGAGTATGAAAACTTCATGAGGGGCAATGTTGTTTAGAATTTGTTTTTCTGTTCTATTTTTTTGAGTTTGCCCATCATAAGCCACATAGAAGTTTGCCTGACAAACTATGAAACTACAATGCACTGCAATGTTATCAAATTTAATAAGTGAGATACTTCACCAGGATTGATGTTTAGCTGTGGTCAACTGTTTATTTGCTTGCTGGAAATAAAATTTTTGATGAATCACTGAAGGACTCTGCTGCTTCTGTAACAATACAAGAATCTCCAGAGGTGGTGTTTATACTGGCATTAGAGTCACAGTTTAAGATATCTGTGTCTCACAACTGAGCAACCATGATGTATTACTGGATGCAGCACCCGACTATACCTTCCTGCTAATGAAAACACTAGGATGTAATAATGGGGTTCATGTCACCCACATGGGAGCACTTGCTTGGGTTTCAGGATTACAGGTTAGGCTGTAGGCAGTTGTAGTGGGAAGCATGAGCTGGAGACTCCCTGTCCCTATCTGTGTGTCCCTCTCAAATGTTAAGTAGAGAACTGTACCAGAGGTTCTTACGTCTGCTCTTGACCCATAACCTTTGTTGTCTCAGTGAAGTGCAAGGTCTTTTTTTAAAGTTCATATAAAAGTACATAAAGAAAATACATGCATGGAATTCAAACCTTGTGCAATTAATACACCTATCTTCAATTCCTCTTGCCATTGACTTTCTGAAGAGCAAGGCCTACTCATCTGTGCCTTCAGTGATAAAATATTTGAGTAACTAAAAGCTAGAGATCTATTTTCCTTTTTTTATTTGACAGATAGAGTTAGTGAGAGAGAGAGACAGAGAGAAAGGTCTTCCTTCTGTTGGTTCACCCCCCAAATGGCCGCTATGGCCAGAGCTACACCGATCCAAAGCCAGGAGCCAAGTGCTTCTTCCTGGTCTCCCATGTGGGTGCAGGGACCCAAGCACTTGGACCATCCTCCACTACCTTCCCAGCCCACAGCAGAGAGCTGGATTGGAAGAGGAGCAACCGGGACCAGAACCCAGCACCCATATAGGATGCTGGCGCCACAGGTGGAGGATTAACCAAGTGAGCTACAGCGCCGGCCCCAAGAGATATATTTTCAAATGGGTTGAATTGTGCCCCCCTTACTGTTTGTTCATGTGCAGACCCCTAGTGCCTATGTATGGGATCTTATTTGGAAATAGTGTCTTTGCAAATACAATAAATCTAAGATGAAGTCATATAGGGAGATGGTGAGTGGTATTTCCATGAAAGGATTTCCTATGAGGAGAGGGAAATCTGGACAGCCACAGTCACAGGGAAGTGTACCATGGGATGAAGGAGTCAGATGTAGCAATGATGCATCTACATATTGGCATTCCTGTGATACTGACATTCCCCACATGCATGGAGAGAATGGTGCAGTGGATTATCCATCAGAGCTCTCCAGAAGGAACCAGAATTGCTGATAGACATTGATTTTGGGCCTGTCTCCAAACAGGAAATTGCCTTACGTTGTTTTAAGCTCCTCCAGTGTGGACATTTGTTACAGGATCTCTAGGAGACTAACACAGGTGTATTACGTTATTGAGGAAGCAATAGTCTCAGATTGTGGGAGTTCATAGTCCCAAGGATAATAAGATGTTAACAGTCAAGTAGCCTGGAGAGGGAGATGGGATAGCCTCCTCAGTGAAAGTGAATCTTGGTAATTACTATGATGCTGGTGCTATGTGTTGTGAACACAGTGATACAGAAATGGATAAGATATGCTCATGATCTCAGTTATTCAAATGAGGAACAACATTGATTTCTAAGTCAATGGATCAATATTCCTCAAATATAGAACATTTCACTCTATTCCTCGTAGTTTATCCTGCAAAGATGAACAAGAGATCTCCTATACATTATGCAAATTATCCTGCAAAGCTGCCTCTGCACCAATTGGTGCATGAGATAAACCACATCCAAAAGGGTAAACAACAGCATGTGTCCCATAGTTAACTGGATATACTTTGTCAAGTACGTGTAGTTGTTCTCTGCTTGACATCTCTCTGCCTTTGACTTCTACTGTACTTATCTGGTCTTAGTTGTGTGATTAGAAAAAGGCAAGTGTTGTAAATCATTACCAGTGCTGTTAAGGAATCATTCTGAAAACTGTGCTACTGTACATAAATCAATATTCTAATTTAATTTATATAGCCTTTGACATGCCAGCCTACTTTGAGTTTGTTTTGGCTAGTTTATCTCATGATTTGTATTCTTTCCCTCCTCTCTCTCTCTCTCTGTTCTCCTCCCTACATTTGTGCTTTCTCTTCTCCCATGATGTTGCCTTTTCTCTACCATTATTGAACAGGTAACAGTAGAGTAGTCTCCTCTTTCATAATCCATAGCAAATTGTATTTTTTCTAACAATCTGCTGTGTATGCTTCTAATTTTAATTCCTATGACATCTATAACTTCCCAAAAGAAAATTGAAGGATAGGACTTAGAACAGTGGTATTGAGGAAAACTTGGTTTCACTTGGTTGTTTTTGTCTTACTACACTGGATTGTGAATACCTGGAGGTCAGACACAGTGTGTCATTGGTCTTTGAATCTAGTGAAATGTGTTGGGCTGAATGCATACACAAATAACATCTTAGATATATATTAATGAGCCAGAACCATCTCAGCCCCACCTGTGATCCTCTGTGGGCACCAGAGCAGCACTTTTTCCAAGTATGTAACGTGCTCCTGAATATCCCACCCTAGGCACCTGCAGGGGGATGTTGGGGTCCAGATGAGGCCTAGTGAATGACTTCTTAAAGTTCAGCCAACACAGAAACCTTGCAGGGCAATATGGGGAGGTGCAGGACACAGAAGAAATGAGTGCTGGAATTTCACGGGGATCCAGACATTCCTCATGCATGGGAGCAGTGCACCTTTAGGGCTCACAGACAGTGAAAAGTTGAAGCCTTCAACCTTCCCAAGGCACTGGGAGTAGGACGCGGTGGAGCATGCACTTAGAGGGAGAGGGGGATAGAGCTCTGAACCTGTCCCTTTAGTAACCTCTGTGAGGCTGCTGTGTGGGTAGTGGAGGCTGGCTGCAGGTCCTGTCTTTACCTGGGCACATGAAATAGCAGCAGGCGGGGCGTCAGTCTTTGTCCATAGGGCTGAGGCTCAAGATTCATTAGTTGACTTGCAGAATTGAGATCATCCGGGCGTATAAGTCTCATGTGATTCTTAAGTCTGTGAGCATTGTCTGCTTTTTCACTTCCAGAATCTTGTGTACTCCCAAACTCCACAGCTCTGATACTGAGATTGCAGCAGTGCTTAATTATGCAAGTTATGAAGAAAAACACTGAAGAATCATGAAACTTATAACTTACTAGCACTGTGTGTGTATCGGGGTTCTTGACCAGAGACAACACAGCAAGACCCTTGACAGGTAGTATTTGTTATGCCAGCATAAGGCTCAGTTGGATTCTTATCCAAAAGACTGAGCCTTGAACAAAGACAGACATTTTCTTATATGTTTTAGCTTTATTTTTTAAAAAGATTCATTTATTTGAGAGGAAGAGTTACAGACAGAGAGGAAGAGACAGAGGTCTTCCATCAGCTTGTTCAATCCCTAAATGGCTGCAATGGCTGGAGCTGGGCTGATCTGAAACCAGGAGCCAGGAGCTTCTTCCGGGTCTCCCACATGGATGCAGGGGTCCAAGTACTTGGGCCATCTTCTGCTTTCCCCGGCCATAGCGGAGAGCTGGATCAAAAGAGGGGCAGTACCAAGACTAGAACCAGCACCCATCTGGGATGCAGCTTCACAGTAGGAGGCTTAGCCCACTACACCACAGCACTGGCTCCTGCTTTTGGCTATTTTGTATCCCTTGCATGCACATTTGATTGGATATTTTAATGTTACATGTTAGCCACAGCATTTGATACAAAACTACACATGTGTACTTAGTAATTCATGGTGCTTAACTAGTTTTCCTTCATAAACCTAATAAAATTTACACACACATATTGAGCTGTATGCTGTCTGGCTCAGGACAACATCATCACTCAGTGCTGATGAGCAGAAGCTAAAACACTTATAAGCAAGTAGATAATGGCCACATTCCATTTCCAGTAAGTGTTTCTTCTTCTTCTGTTTATTTCTGGAGGTCCTCTAGCACATGTGCACTCATTGTATTGTGCTTTAAATACTTAGGCACTCCTGGAATCCTGCAGTACCACCTAAAGCTGAATTCTCCTGCACAGAGCCTACAGTTATTTTTAACTTGCAGATAATCTGGAGGGAGCCCAAGATTCTGCAGTGCTAACAGCCTCCAGGTGGCCCTGATATAATTGATCCTTAAATTACACCTTCAGTAGCAAAAGGGTCTGCATCAAGCTCTATCCTTAGACCCACCTCCACTCACACTACCATTGAGCCTTTCTAGTTGCTGCAAGACCTCCTGCAATATCCTCCCGTTCATCTCACTGGAAGCACATGGCAGCTCCTTTGCTGCTCTGCTGGCTTTCTGTCACTGTCTCTTAGACAAAATCAAGGTGATTCCTAAAGTTTTTTTTTTAATCTCCTGTGCATATGAAGCAGAAATCTCTGTTTTGAGTGCATCTGCAAAGGAAAGGAAATCACCAATTTCTGAAGACATCTGCTCTTCCACGTGCACTGCACCACTCTTCACAGTGGTGATGATATATGGACAACCAGGCATGTGTCAAAGATGTACTGACAAGGAATTGGTGGTATGGATAAATAATGAAACTTTCAGTAAGAAGGAAATCCTGGGGCTGGCGCCATGGCTCACTTGGTTAATCCTCCACCTGTGGCACTGGCATCCCATATGGGTGCCAAGTTCTAGTCCAGCTCCTCTTCCAGTCCAGCTCTCTGCTGTGGGCTGGGAAGGTAGTGGAGGATGGCCCAAGTGCTTGGGTCCCTGCACCCCATGGGAGACCAGGAAGAAGCGCCTGGCTCCTGGCTTTGGCGCAGTGCCAGCCGTAGCTGCCATTTGGGGAGTGAACCAACGGAAGGAAGATCTTTCTGTCTCTCTCTCTCTCCTTTTCTATAACTCTACCTGTCAAATAAAATAAAATAAAATAAAATAAAATAAAATAAAATAAGGGCATCCTGCATTTGAAGCATGCATGAGCTTGCAGGACAGAGTGTTCAGTCAAACAGTCTGGACACATGAAGGGGAAAATGACATGATGAAATTATGTCTTTTTTTTGATAGGTA